CTATATGGGCTCAAACTGGTTGTTAACCTAGTTGTTCTGTCTAGGTTGAATTATTTTTTAATACACCGAACCCAAAAATGAATCTGTTCACTGGTCAATGAATTAATGTGTAGGAAAGAATAGAAGTTAATTGTAGCCATAGGTGCAAATATGTTTTTTGTAATGTTTAATGTTTTTAAGTGCTTTAGACCATCCTCCTGTAATGATACTGGATGTTGGTATAGTGTATGTTAAGGTATTAAGTGAAGGTCTTCTATAGTAGTTGGTCCTAAAAATTTTCCTTATGCTTGGGGTACTATCATTTCAGTTACTGGTCTTTCTGTTTCATGCACATTAGAATACTTATACAAAAGCTTCACAATTAATTTGCAGTGACATGGAAGTTGTTCTATTGCTATCATGAATGAATGAATGCAATTATAATAACCTCTAGTAAACATATTCCCTCAATTCCTTTTTTATTTTAGGTGACTTAAGACAGTGTGATTTAATATATAAAGATGCCTGGGTACAAGATTCCTATTTCTGTACAGATTGATGTTAAATTTATTTGCAAATCATGTGGTTTCCTATTAAGAGATGCTGTGCAAACTAATTGTGGTCTCCATTACTGCAAAAAATGTTTGTTAGTGAAGTTAAAACATGGTGGGTGAGTATCTATATTGATCAAAATTATGACAATTAAATTAATTTTAAAAGCATCTCAGTTGCCAGTGGATTTTCTTTTCTCCAAGACAGTCTGTCGCTCATAATGAAATTAGGAAGTAAGGAATCATAGTGGATACATGTTCATGCTTGAAATTGCCATATTGCACAGTGTCATGTAGTAATGAATGCATGTTTAGTTAAACATCACTTGGCTATGGTTTTGTAGACAAAACTGCTTTCAAGAATTTTTATCAGCACAGAATTAGACATTGTTTGTTTATGTAATATTAAGAAAATGCAACAATGTTAGTGAGGGATGATGATGATCATTTTTGTTGTTGTTGATGATATTCAAAACTGTCTTTAATATGTACTGTTGGTTGTTTAAAATAAGGATGAAAGCAATGAAGTAGACATTATGTGAAGAATGTTATATGTTAGGGGGTCTCTCCTGCACATGCTAACATGAGTGTCCTTGAGGCCACGTTTTGAAACTTCCACTGCAAACTGCTGCTTTGCAGGTTAAACTTTCCTCATTTCAATCAGCCCTTGAACCATTGAAACCTTTGTAAACCCAGCAGCAGTTGCACCTATGATTTAATGAGTTGTTAGTTGGCTATATCCTTGGATCAATTTACTTTAATTTACTCTGTAGGTTATTTAGGTCTGTCAAATGTTTAGATGAGAATTGCAGCAGCGTAATTGGACATGATGCGGTAATTGTTTGTAATTTATAAGGGAAATGATGTTTATGTAGCATATAATATTGTGGGACTTAAAATGGAGCCCATTTTGATTTTGTAACTTAATTTTAAAGTTCACATTTGCAGGTATAGTTACTAAAACAAGGAATTACCCAGAAAGAGCTGGAATGAGCCGGAATGAGCTGGAATGATCCAGAACGAGCTGGAATGACCAAGAATCAGCAATTTTCTCATCAGCCATTTTCTCACTCAGTTCGAAAAGGCTGATGGGATATTAGCCACAGGAAGCCCGATAAAATATTTCTAATGCAAATGTCTCATGGGGCAGAATACAATGCATCAGGGGATAGGATATTTCCCGCCAAATCTCCAGCATCATGGCGGAAGAGTTTGATCTCTCGCCCTTCAGCAAAAACTCAGGAAATTTCAGTTCATTTCTTAATAAAATCCACAAATACTCACGCCATTCCACGTTACGATTTTCCACTAGGATTCAACTCGGCCGCCATCGTGAAATATTGTAACGGGCTTCCTGTGGCTACTATCCCATCAGCCTTTTCCAACTGAATGAGAAAATGGCGGAAGGACGTAAAGAGTTTGTTTAGCAAGTTAAAATCAAGTATATGGAGACAAATTCAATCGAAAAATACATTTTTTCTTTCCCCTCCCTCTTCCCCGTTGCCCATTTTTCCACTTAACACCTACTCCCTCGGCAAATATTTCCTTGCCCCAATCCTCTACAGATACCAAATTTAAGATGGCGGCCTAATACGAAAATGTGCACTCGTACGCCCAAAATACGCCGGCACTGCAGGCTACCACATCACAGGTGGCCCAAGCGTACTGAGTGTGATTTTGGGGTTTAAAGTTCATCAACGGCAATAGCTAACATATTAAGATCGAATTTTAAGCGTATGTGTGGGCCGTTAAAAAAAGAGAAAAGTATTAAACAAAATTAAGAAAAAATTTAAAAGGATAACAAAAGCGAGCAATAAAACGTGTGAAGTCTCCTTACCTTTTTTCAGTAGCCGCTTTGTTGCAAACAGTCGTTTTAACGCTGTTTTGGTGGCCTCTTTAAAGCGTGCGGTGTCAATAGTAAACTGTATAATAGGAAAATTATTTAAAAAAATTAAGAAAAAATTAAAAAGGATAATAAAAGCGAGGAATGTATCACACGAAGTCTCCTTACCTTTTTCCCGTAGCTTCTTTGTCGTTTACGGTCCTTTTAACGCCGTTTTGGCGACTTTCTATGTAAAGCGATGGTTGATAATGCTTTGAAGACGAAGGGGTGCTTGATGAATGAGCTTCTTCAGGATTGCTTCCAACTGTTGTAGTCGCTTTCAACCGCAATCTCCCATTGCCCTTTCAAATAATCATGAAACCGTTCATAACCACAGACAATCGCCAGCATTTCTTTCTCCTTCAGCACGTAATTTTCTTGGCTGGGAGTCAGGGCTTTGGATGCGTAAGCAACTGGGCGGTCATTTTGCAGACGGACTGCATCAACCCTTTTTGAGCTTGCAGCAACAGACAGGTTTACTGGTTCTTTCGGGTCAAAGAACTTGAGGACTGGAGCTGATGAGATTTAAGTTGTAAATGCGTCATTTTCTACTTGTTCCCTGGACCATTCAACATCCCTCTGGAGCAGCTGGCGGAGTGGGGTACTCTTCTGAGACATGTTTAGAATGAACTTAAATAAATAGGTTACCACACCCAGGAATCTCCGTAAGTCTTCACGATTGGCTGAGGTTGGCATAGCAATTATTGCTTCAACTTTCTTTGGGTCTGGTTTAATATCATCTACACTCAACACGTGGCCCACATAATGAACTTTGGATATTCGAAATTGGCATTTCTCCCTGTTCAGCTTGAGGTTAAGCTCATGACAGCGGTCCAACATCTGTCTAAGCCACACATCATGCTGCTCCATATCTTCCTCTGGAATATTCCTCAGGGCAGATTCCTTCTCGGCAAACTGCTTTTTGTGAGAACTCTGGTTAAAATGTATTTTTTCGAAAAAAGTAGCCACTCAGTGAGTTTCTTTTCTTTTTTTTAATTCAGAGTGCAAAAATGAGTGAAAAAAGCTCCCATATTTGAGCCGACGCTTGGTCTCAAGACATTCTATCGACGTAAAAAATGCCCAAGTAATTGAGAAAGAAAATAATTGCCAATTTGGAAAACTGTCATATTTCTAATAATTCTTAACAAGTATACAACAACTTTAGGCCGTTGCTAAAACAGCAAAATGATATTATGAAAACATTATTTTGTTTCTTATTTGACTGCTCTTTAATTTTTTACACTCTCGTTTTGCATGTGTTTCTCTGTCATGCATTCGCTCTTTATTTTTGAGGGAAAACCAATTTTGTATGGCTATTGCCTCCTTTGGGAGGCGAAGCCTCATATGTCGTGTAGATGACTGGGTGAGTGAGTGAGTGTAACAATCATTCCGATCTGACCCAATTTTGACCGATGTTTCACACTGCTACTTATTGTTTCGGAGTAACTTAGTCGTTCGACATTCGTACTCGATGAAAAGTTGAGTTCTCTCCCTCTGTGAAATCTTGCTTATAGCCACTAGCAAATAGCATTTTCAGATCTTGCCATGACACTATGGAAAACAGCAGAAGACGACAAACATCTAGCAATCATTTCAAGATTACGTACAATTTAGAAAAAGAAATTGATAGGTGTGATCGGCGCATCATGAAATTTTGTGGAATTTTTTTTTTCTTCGAAGAGAGATCGTTTTACCATTTGAATCAGCAAATTATGTAGATCCGAAGATATAAACTTTTGAGTTCTTGCCGTGACACTACAAAAGACGATTAACTTCTTTGTGGTATCCACTGACGCATAATCTCTCGCTAAATGTGAACTGCACATCATGGGAGGAATTTTTTTCTTTCAAAAGAGCACTTAACTGTTTGAATTAGCGGCTTATGCCGAAAAGAACCGCCAAATTTACGAAGAGAGCAACTCCTTGAGTTATTTAACAAAATGATGGAATGGAGGAACGGTGGATAGGGGGATCGGCGGAATAGCTTTAAGGCAAGGAATGACGGGATATCCTAAAACGCTAAAACGCAGAAATCAGTTTTGTATGAAACGATAAAATAAGAAAACTATATATAATCAACAGGCGAAAATGAAAGAAGCATAGGTAATAATTGTTGGAGCCCAGAGGATATGGGCTTTCGAGTTAGCCCCTTTAAATTATTATTGGATTACCAATGTTATCATCAACATTATTATTAATATAATCATTTGTCACCATTTAATCAGTTTTGAATGTCAGTTAGGCAGTATATTCATTAATAAGTGAAATGCAGCAGGTTTTCTGTTTTGCATTTGAGACAAAAATTCTGCAGCACTTACTTCTAGCGTTATTATACAACCTCTAGTTCTTTTCAATGCTATAGAAATTGTGCTTTATCAGCAGCCTGCCAGAGCGTTTTATCCTTTTTCCATTGCTTAAAACATCTCATCTTTGCTTTCGGACTGTACGAAATAGTCTTTTCGAAGAAATATGAAGCCCTGGGAAAATATTTATTGCATTCAAGTTTCCTTTCGAGTCTCATCATTAATTTGAATTCACGTATAATTTATATGCTTAATGTAATTAAATGCTGATTTGCTCTGTCTTCCAGACAAAAACAACAATGCAACCACGTGACCTATGTTAACCAGCTGTAACCGACGCTTGGTTTAAAACAAGATTTGGTAAGCCTTATCTTAAACTTGAATTAAGTCGATTAAAAGAAGTAACAATCAATTTTTGAAATTAATACAATTGAGTTATCAATGGCTTTTTTTTTTCGATAACATGATTTGTCGCTAGGGTATCCTCAAGCTGATAAATCGCCTAGAGAAATCAGATGCTATTTATTGCAGAGATGGAACGAGTGTTTAGTCGTTAGGTATGCACGAAGAGAGAAGCACCAAAGGTGAAAGTCGCTCTGGCGTAGTTCTTTTGGCGTCAGGAATACCATTTCCCTTGTCTTCAAAAGGAAAGGTGTTGCGTATTCAGTAACTTATGTAGCTTGTATGCCAATTTGTGAGATGATCGATAGAAACATTTTTAGGCTCGGTTGCTAAGCGATTTTTATCCAAAATGAGAGGTCTCTCCCTCTCGGAAGGGAAAATTCCAGATCATCCTCAAACGACAAGTAGCACTGAGACTTGATGGGTAGGCTGGATTATGTTTGTGTTATAGAGCAAGATTATTTGCGTCACGGTGCCTCTTGCCGTTGACGAAACCCGACGAAATCCGGCTAGGAGTAATCCGCGGTTTAGGGGGTTTAGGGGTTGTGCTGTAGCAATAGCCCTAGTTGTAGCTTTGGGAAGTAAGTTGCCTATTGTTTGATGAAGAACCTATGTTTGTTTAACTTTCGTAGATACCTTGGTCAAAGTGATTTTAATCCGTGTCAAGTAAAGAGGATTTTCTGCCTGTTGGTAGAGTTTATGACCTTTCGACCTTGGTGTTAATTCACCCATCCTAAGCAATAGAGAACAAAAGAAAGCAGAGAATGCCTGGATACCCTTTGTTAAGTCTAGACAAGAACATCATCGACGCTAAGTACTTCTGCAGCTTTTGTGACTTTCTCCTGAGAGAGGCTATGCAGACGAGCTGTGGACATTTCTATTGCCAATCGTGCTTACCAAGTCTTATTCAGTAAGTCTCTTTTTTGTCAGAGCCATTTTCAGTTGAGTGTCGCAAGTAAACGAGATTGTCTTGATTCTGCTTCACTAAGCTCTGTGATTGACCAAAAAAAATAATTACTCCACCATGGCCGCAAATCCACTCATTTTCATATTACAAACTGGCCACTCACGTTTCCCCACCCCAGAAAGGATTGTTTGTATTAAAAGAAAATCCATTAGCTCTTTGTGATATTGACCTTTGTTCTAATGTGTAGTTTTGATCACTTCGGTTTCGGTTTTTCGACACTCAAGGGAAGAGCGCTCTAATTGTAGCATAATAAACACTTAGCAACAATATCTACCTAAAACCTAGAAAGGAAATTCAAGTTAAAAACTGTCCGGGGATGTTCCGCCAGGAAAAGTAAATCATATTATTGTAGGAGGTAGCAATTACTCGAACAGAAGTATAGAATAAGGTGAGGAAATCTGCCGCTAGGTGATAGCAAGCTCTTAAGATCAATTAGGAGAAAACTGAGTGTTCGTCGTGCACTTTCTTACTAAAAATGAGCACTCCAGGGGTGTGAAAGAGAGAGGGTTTTGAATATGGAAGGATAAGGATTAAGACTTCGGGCGGAGAATCCCCGCACAAAATGTTTAACCAATAAGCACACGATTTTCCTGTTTCCAACTGGGACGTTGGCTGTGCAAGTAAAAAAGGTTATGCGTTATTTTAAATGAAAAGAAATACTTCAGGTACATTTATAATCTCTTGTCGAGGCATTATTTCTTTAAAGTGCCCCTGAGACGAAAATTGACCATTTTATTTTGGCCTAAATTGTTTACACAATGTTGAATTGGGTCAAGTTAAGACCCTTTTTGCCATTAAAAACTCAAAACAAACCCTCGATGACCAATTTTTACCGCTTCAAAGTCGTCCAAAAATCGTCCGCCATTGCTGAAAACATGTTCTAGCCGAGCCCGCAAAAACGTCTTTATGACGTCAAAGGCTCAAAAAACTTATTCTATGCTTTGTCACAACTCTCTTTGTTCGCTGCACAGCGAATCACACATATTACGCAGAAATCATCTGAAGCTTCTGTGGATAGTTTTGCGCCGACAAACGATGAATTTTTGCCATGCGAATAAAGATAAACACAGAACGGCACGGACTCCCCATGTGGCTTTTGTGGTCGCATCGCTTTATCGCCTTCGAACTGTATTTTTGCTTGTCGTAAGATATTTTCCTTTTTTGTGAGAAATGATCGGGTGCTTGGTAAAACCAGTTTTCGGCAATGGCTAATTGTGTATCCGAAGGCGGATATTGGGAGTTTGGGAAAGCCATTTCTAAGCCATCAATGTGTTTTCCCCGATGCATTTGGTCAATGATCTCATTAACCCTTTCCTTCGTGTTTTTTACTATCGGTGCTTTGAGAGGTTTGAAGTGAGCTCTGTTTTTGAGTTGCACTTTGGCCTCTTTTGTTTTTTCTGTCTTATTCATGATGACTATTGTTGTGTTGCTTCGGTGAGGTTTAAAGCAGAGTTTGTTTCAACTCTTTTAGAGCCGTGACCTCATTGCGTTACAAAGTATTTTTTGGCTTAGATGCAGTCTGCAAGTAGCGTTATGACAATTTTCCAAGTAGCTCTGAAGGGCGATAGAAGACTGAACCGGTGGCATTCAGTTTGATATGAAACAGAAGTGGTTCTTTGTTTTGTCCGTGAAAGGTGTAACGGAGGCGCATTCGTCTTGCGAATAAATCTCGCAAAAGTTGGCCTGATTTTAAATTCGTTTGTCACGGGCGTTGGGATGAATTTGAGACCCTTTGATAGCACGCTGACTTGGCTGTCAGATGGTTGATAGTTTGACAGGTTTTTAAAGAAATTTTCATTTTCTCGGTTTTTTGGCTGCAAGCCTACATTTTAAAGTGTTTTTACGCTCTGTGTCTTAAGCTGTTTGTTCTGCTTTCGCTGATATTAAAGCCAGCTTTTTTTAGAATCAGAGCACACAATTATATTTTTCATCTCTTTTGTATAAAAGTGAGCTCTTTGAGGTCAGAAATCTCAATCCTCAATTCGGCTATTTTATCATTCTTATTTACAATGTTCACCGAGTACTTTCCTTTGTGTAAGGTATTCTGCCAGAGAGTTGTTAAAGGTGGATATTGATCAGCTCATATGTAAAGGTGACAAAATCCGTGGAGGTTCGTAGACTTCGCTTTCCGGCGTCGAGATCGCACTGAGGACGGTTTTTCTTGTCCCTTCTCTTCTTGAACGGTAGGCACTGAACCCGACAGAATTCTTCGCCTAGATCCTTCAAAGTACACAGATCTCTCGAAACAGTCCTCCGAGAAGTGTTCGGAGTAGATCACAAATATTTCTGTAGGATTGAAGTTTACTCGGCGAGGTCGCACAAATCGCATCCGTTTTTCCCGCTCTGATCTATTTGCAAGGCTCCGATGCAGAGAAATACCTGCAGCATGGTCTGCACGATTACTTCAGCTTTGAATTACGCATCGATGCCCAGTCATTTTTGTTTAGTTTTCGTAAGAATAGAGTAAAGCACTCTGTTGCGTTTGCTTGACATTTTACCAGGTGAGATTTTCGCGTTGAGCCTTTGACGTCACTTCCTCTGAGTCCTGCGATCAACTTCCGGAACATGATCAAATAATGGCGGACGCGAAATCGTGAATTTAACGGCCCGAAAAAAGATATTTCTGGTGCCCGGTCTAAACTGAAATTTGGCAGAGTGGGTGAAGGAGACACACTGAACACGAAAATGGAAAAAAATGATGTACGGAAATTTTGATCTCAGGGGCACTTTAAAATTGCGTGCATAGAGGCAGATTAAAACACTTTCTTTGTTTTGAACGTTGTCTTCTGATGGGGCTTCCTCTTTGATTGAGCGCCAAAACTCCATTCCTTGAGAGATGGTCCTATTGTACCTGGTCATATGACTGTCGATGATACAGTTGGATAGAGGAATGTTTCCTGCTAAATTTGTTCTGTCCATCTTTTTCTGTCCCGTCATGATGAAAAGAGTACCCGGTCAATTATTGACTCCAACGTTTTATTAATTTTATGATCCTATTCAAGTAAAACAAAATATTACCTGGCAGTATAATTTTGTATGCATCAACTTCCTGAAATTAATGACGGTTATCCGCAAGTGGACCGAATTGAAGTCTTGTGATTCAAGCTGCAAGTATTACTTGAAAACCTTTAGGTAGTGTCACTGGCGGCTACATTCTCCTCTTAGGTCACTCTTTAGTTTTAATCCCCTTCCCATACAAGAAAAACTTCTACTTGTTCCTAAGATACACAAAACATTGTATAAAAAACTCTAAGTAAATAAATATAATCATTAGGTAATTCTTCCCCTCATTATAGGATACATCACTAACAAAAATACACTTACTTGGCAAGTATCAGACCCTCCCTGCTCTCTGCTAATATACCAAGGAAGTCCCTTACTAGCTGATATACTTGTCTCTGTGTTCAGAGTCCCACCCCCCTCCACCACAGTTCTGTCAATAAGCCCGGGGAATTGCAGTTGTATACTGGCTATCGGACCTCTCTCCGAGTCTCAAACCCCCTCTAATCCCGGAGTTTTGTTTTGTCTACTATGACCGGGCCCTGTGATGTAGAGAATGCCTTTCTAAGCACAAAAAAGAATCTCGTTTTGCCCTCATTGCAGTAAAAAGGAATTCAAACATAGACACTCACTCTATGAACTTGCAATCAAATGGAAGGTCCCAACTGTATAGTGGCAGCTACCTCCATCCTTCCACAGTTTGGTGGTAGTTACCACAACAAAAAAGCCCCTTCGCCCATTCAACTGACGATAAGGTCTAAACTGTATAAATATAAATATGAGAGAATAGTCTCAAAGTGAAAAAGCAGTATTCAAACATGCTACATTCCCCTGGAGTGAAAGCATGGAACTCCAATTACAGCCTTGCCTCCCAAAATTCGGAAACAGATACGATGGCTCGTGTGTAATGGCTTAGCCAGCGCACTTCTGCGTGGAATCAACCCGTTTCCCACGACCTCCATCTCTCTTACCGGTTTCACTCGGTTTTCTAGATTCCAAAATGTTATACAGATGTCGTGGTCAAGAGATAAAGTTGACTGATCGGCAGATGGGTGGAAGAAATTTCGCTGAGAATAGCTTTATATCAAATTGTAACGCCAAAAATGTACCCTCAATTTTCTCTAAAATCGTCAATTACCAACGTTAAGACAAAAACTAAGTTAAACATCTGTTAAGGAAATAACCTTTTCCCATTACAGGAGAGACCGCCATCGCATTCACCGGAATAAAAGTTGTCATTTCCCCCCCTTCCCCCTTTTCTAAGGGTCTGGATGACCGCTCCAATTACAAAGGTGAACCCTGAACGTTTGCCTAATATTTCCTACCATTGACTATAAAATAACACGCAGCGCTTATTTCAGAATTCCAGGTGAACTAAAATTAGGAATAACCTTTTCTTTAGGGATCAGCAAACACTTGTGATGGTTTGTGTAAAGGATCATGGTGTTGATAAAGTAGTCATAGTCTTCTCATACTTGGTTTTCACCCAGCTCTATGGCACCAAAGATTTTCTCAAAGTCCTCGTGGAAAGCTCCTGTACTGAACTTTACCTCTGTTTACGTCTTCGCCAAATGGGTACTTCATTACCAATTAAACCCTCTAAAAGCACATTCCCATATTTGTCCATATTTGTACTCCCAGTTATGAGTGTATGATGACATTACATAGAGACCTGTCCATATCGCCAAGACATTTTGGACAAAGAGGAATTGTGGGGTGTGTGTGCTTTTAAAGGCAGAAAATGGAACTACGTTATTGGTGGGAACATGGCAACGAGAAAAACACGAATAAATTAGTGGAATGAAAAGCGTTCGTTGATCCCTGTTTTGGACAAAGTTTTCACCCGGTGCTTTAGCAATCTCCAATGCTTCATAGCTTTGAGCAAATGAAAGTTCAAATGAAAGGAATTTACACCAATCAGTCTGAATTACATTAATCGTGTTGAGTAATTGTCAAGGTGGGGGGAGACTCATAAGATGTCGCGTTATTGCAATGATCTCATTCACTGATAAAAGCAATCGTTCACGTTGGTATCTGTACAGTTCTACTTGCAGGTGTCCTATACATCCGAAGATGACACGATATGACCGCTTAATTCAATAATGTTTTAAAACAAGAGATGAAAATAAGTGAACGTTTTGTTCATATTACCGTAAACTGATGCATCTAATATGAGATTTGTGGATCAAAAAGAGTAACTGATTAACTGCGTACCTACTCCTCCCCTAACCCAACAACGGCCAACTCATATTAATAGGTTAAGATTGTTGTTGGGCTAGGGGAGGGGTAGGTGCGCAGGTTGTTCAGATACTGACATTGATCAAGATTTGGGATCAGCGCTGTCATGGTTACCTGCGGTCTATATGTTTTACAGGTTTTCCCAGACAAATTTATGCGACGTGAAATACTTGCTCTCGTCGTTCACTGCACTTTCATGGAGGATGGGTGTGTTTGGAAGGGAGAAGTGAGATATTTAGAGGTACGTCATATTTGGTATCCTTGGATAGACGATTGTGATTCTTCACGTATGGCGTAGACATATTTTTGCAGTCATTTGATGATTATAGTTTGGATCCATTCATACGTATCGCTGAAAAGTTTACATTCGTCTCTTTCACGTCTCCACCGTCAGCTAACATTCATGATAATAATAACAAGTCACACCATGAGACTTGGCATCTTAATGGCTGAAACCTTGCTTCACTGGTCTAGAGACTTGTTCAATTTAGAATTTAATTTTAAGTTTCCTTGCGAATCGTTTTAAAGATCGCGTAGTTGTACGTGTGTGCCTCGCCCGAGAAGACAATGATATTTTTCTTCGAACTAGCTGTCAAAAGGTAAGTTTTTTTTAAGGGGTCCTAAATCCTAGAAAGCCATCCACATATTTGTTTTCCCCCTCGTGTGGCATTAATTAGATGCCATAGACAGCATCCGTCCTTCCCCCCCTCCTCTCCCCTTATCGCCTGCATGGAGTATTGTATCACAACATTTTTGTGAGTTGAAATTGAGGAATTGTTAATTTCAGTAACTTTACGTAACATAAGGTAACAAAAGACTCAACGCTTCTTGTGACAATAACGGATAGCTTGAGTATTGTTCGTTTTGGCCTGAGCCAGTAAGTGTTACTGGGCTTTTATCAAGCTGAAGGAAAAGTTAAGATTAGTCTTATGTAAGGTTCTACCGTAATTACCAGAGGACTCATATAATGTGGGAGTATATTGTCGTGTGTGGCGTACTTTCCTCTTACGCTATTTCAGTTTTTTTTTATTAATGCATTTAAAAAGGTTTTCGCGGTTATTGCACGAAATATTTACTTACAGAGCCATATGAACACTTGTGAGTTCCTGAAGATACCCTGCGTACATCCTGAGTGTGGCGTGCTAGTAAAAAAATCTGACCTCACTTCACATCTGGAAAACGAATGCATGTTCCGACTGGAGAAGTGCACTTTTTGTCAAAGACAGATAGTCTTGTCCAGGATGAAGGTAATTTATCTCGAACGTCATAGAACCAAAATCTCTCTACTCTCAGCCCACCTATCCTTGTGATCAGTGATTAAAATGTTTGACCCACCCTTTTGCATATTTAAGCTTCCAGTTATCAAGGGATACCGCTAATACTGAAGGCACCTTTGCACAGCACTTGGTGTTATGAGTATCTTCATTTGAACTACTCATTAATGATTTGTAGAATTCCACCATCTCAGGGTTCTCAAGGTCTGACTGACCTTAGAGGGAACTTGCACTCATCCTGTAGCTCCATTAAAATATTTAAAGTCTTGAAGTATGCCGGTCGGTAGTGTCCATTTTGGCATATTGTGACTCAAAACAATAACTCCATAGAACCTATAATCATATGATTACCACTACCAATTAGATTTATAGGTTATTCCACTTACGTGAGAGTACCTTCATCAAAATTTCTTTAAACACCCCCACCTTTCATACTGGGTGCTCAATATAGAGAATACGATAAACTTTTAACGGTTCGCTGCTTACTAGCCGCAAGTTTTTATTTCCAGGTAGTTTCTTTAGACACAAAAAATACTTTTCACTGAATTGTTTTGCGCAGATCGATTCGAAGCNATTTGTAAATATTTTCACATCAGCACGTTTTTGGATCACTTCTCATGAGGTTTTATCTAAGGTACGTGGTAGTGGTTTGGATGCAGCGTTTACAAGTAATCCTCTGAAACCTAATTTGCCGTTCACCTCCAAATAAGACCAAGGCTTCGTTTTTTACTTTGTCGCGATCATTAAGGAGTCACCTTACTCCAGAGAGGTCCACTGCTGAATAACTTTCCACGAGCACCTCCCAAGGGTGATGCATAAAATTACTTAGAACCATACTATGCTCAACGACTTAAAAACCTCCATGAGCAATTTTTTTGAGAACCTGAGGACCTCAATACCTGTCTCTTAGGTCTAAAAATTATTCTGTCATCGATACGATTGTTCATTGAAACGTGTATATTTTTCTCTACAGCAACACCAGGATACAGAATGTCCTGCATATCCAGTTATGTGTGAAAAATGCAATAAGGATGGAATTCTACGAGGGAAAGTAAGGACACATACCTTCTAGTAAAAAATGTTTTGTTATAATCTCAAGGTAATTCTTAGCGCATTTAAAAACTAACACAGGGTGTTAGCGACCTCTCCTACTTCTGTTCATAATAAGGCCTTATGGGTATTGATTTATAAACCAATGTTTAATGCGACGATGGTTGGAGTACTCTGTTAGTCTGTTAGCTAGAAGTCCTGCTTTCTTTGTATTACCATCTGAAACATGCCACAACTGAAAAATCAGCTGTTGCGGCGACTGCGGCGCTCGCAGTATAGAAATCAATACACAGTGCCCAGGTATTCGACTCGTGTCGTTCTTGTTCGTTTTACTCGAACCATACGAATATTTTAAAACGCAACCAAACTTGTACAACGGTGAAAACTATGATAAAAGGCAAACGAGAGCGGTAGTACGAAAGAAACTTAGGGTAACAAGCAAAGAATACAACTAAAACATGATAAACAAAGGCAAACACTCACAATCTGTGCTCCTTAAAATGAACGACCATGTGCTACAAGCAACGTAATACATTTATGAACTTAAGCCTGTTGTGTAATTGTCACGAGAGGTCAACGGACAAAAAAAAAACGAGGGATCTTAAATATTAAATGGCGATCAAAACATCAGCAGCTCAGCCCCCTTGCATTTCGAATGGGGCGAATGATGAAAAAAGCTGTGTGATACATGGGAGCACACTTACCTTTCGGACGGTTAGGGGGGAGGATGGAGATGGCTTAAAGATTGGAGATGGAGATGGCTTAAACATTGCTATAACTGTGCTCAAGAAAAATCTGGAGGAAATTAATTGATTTATAGGCTCTGGAAATGGGAACAGAGAAGTATGGTATAGCATGTTTTTAGGTCATAAATATTACAGAAAGTTTGATCATCTTAAATACGAGATATACTGTGCGGCAGATGGGCGAAATTAGGGCCCGCTTCGCATTTAACGTTTCAAAAAGATCGTAGCTCTGTTTCTGACTAGGGGTATTGGTCAGCTTGTACCTGCCTTGATTAAATTTGATAATTCTCCCTTTGAAGTTGAAAGATCACCAGAATCCTATCCTGGGCGACTGTGAAGCCGTACAAGGACCATGCCCTTTCTCTCAGATTGGCTGTCCGAAAACAGATGTAAGTACACACTCGACTTTTGTGATTGCAACTGCTGTCAGCTGTGCATTAGTACTGAATTATAAATTGCGTAAAATTTTTACAACAGACCCAAACAGAAAAGGTTCTGAATAAGGCCTTCATCAATCAGATATAAATGAGAAGAAGCAATTACCAAGTAAATGCAGCAGTTATGGTTACATTATGCGTTGATCAATTGGGAGCTTGAACATCTCCTTTACACTTCAGGTTGAAATTCCCCACCCCACCCAGCCAAATTCAAAGTCTTCACCCCACCCAGCCAGGTTCAAATTCCTCACCCTACGCAGCAAGGTTCAAATTTTCCACCCCCAGCCAGGTTCAAATTACCCACCCCCCAGCCAGGTTCAAATTTCCCACCCCACCCAGCCAGGTTCAAAGTCCCCACCCATCCCAACCAGGTTCAAATTTTCCACCCCACCCAGCCATGTTCGAATTCCCCACCCCACTCGGCAACTTTCAAATTCCTCAACCCCGGGTACCGACCACAGTCAGATGCCCGTGGGATACTTGGAGGATGTTGATCGGGGTAATGCTTGATAAGTGCATTACATTTGGTGTATACAGAGGGAAAAGAGATAAATCTAAATTATTTTTAAAGGTTGTTGACTACGCAGCTCGTAGTCTTTGACTTGGGGACAGAGCTGGTATAGTGGAGAGTTATAGGTTCGACATCTGTCAGGAATGAAAAATTGGTATCTAATAAACGAACATTTAAAAGGGAACATGACCCAGTAGTTCATTTTGCAATTCTATGATGCGGTTACAATAGTAGGAGGAATTTCGAAATTAAGGTTATTGCTATTAAATTAAGAATGAGTCACGCTTCTGACTTTTAGGGTTTCAACTAATTTTCTTTCGCAGTCAATAGTTCGGTGACATTTTATAGTTAAACATTGTGCCTACTACGTCATGACAGGTTCTTAGCCAAAAGGAAAAGAAACAGCATTTGGAGAAGGCCTTT